AAAAAAAAAAAAAAAAAATAGTCTCATCCTGCACTGCTCTCCTTTCCTGTAATCAAGAATCAAAAAAAGGTGTTTTTCTTAGAGCTGGGAGTGGACTTGGCATTTTATATACAATGTCACAAACCAAACAGAGATAAGTTGGAACAGCAGGTAGAATCAGAAATTCTTGGCCTTGGATATGAAAAGCCTATATGGCTGCACTGGGAAATAACCAAGTATTATAATAGGATAAACCCATCTGTGACATTGTTAGGAAATGACCACAGAACTTAATATCTTTCATTTGAAGCTATTTAAGTTGTTTGGCTGAAAGTCACGATTGGCTCCTTTGAGAATTGGTTCATCCCTGGTGGGGAGCCAGAGAATTACTAATTAAGATACGCAGTCGCTCAAATATTCCTCTGAAGAGGTCGGGGGAAAGCTTGGTTGTAAAACCATTAGGCAGTGTGGGGGACGAATGTGATCTGGGAAGCAGCGAGGTGTTTTCTGCTTTAGTTTCAGCTCTGGGGAGAAGGCAGGATCAGGAAAGCTCAAAGCGGGCAGGTCCTGGGATCCAGAGATTGTACGTGGCCGGACCTGAGGGACTATGCGCACACAGAGGGCACTTGCTCCCTGACAGCAGAAAACTCCTGCCTGTGTGGATGGGGAAGGTTCTAGAAGTGGGACCTGACCGCACTGCACTGGTTTAATGTACGTGACCCCTCACAAGGCCCATAGCTTTAATTATTATCTCACAGTTTCCAAGATGAACAGATAAAAAATAAGATGTTCTTGGTGAAAGTTAAATTTTAAATTTGTTTTTAGGAGACCAACAGCAGCAACCATGAAAGAACAAGGTCTAACGGAGTTGACTTGGGTTTGAGATGATATACTGGTAGACTTAGAAACTTTGACTCACCACTTCTGGTATATAATTTAATCTATAACTTGATTATTTTAGATCTCAGCATCCTCATTTGTAAAGTTGGCATAATGATACCTAACAAACGAAATGATAAATGAAAAATTTTAGATCAGGGCTTGAAACTTAGGATCCAACCAATAAATGTTTTTGTGTAAATGAATATCATTCCAGTCTCTTTTATGCACCCCTGACTCGTTTTCTCCTAGCTGGCACCTGCCTTTCTAAAGATAGGACACATAGGTAAAGTTCATGAAAAAACAACCAATTTCTTGATCACTTATTTTACAAATGTGGTGTATTTTAGTAACAGCAAATTTAATGCTCACCAGCCACAAAATTTGCATTAAGTCATATACATCCTTTTCTTTTCCCACTGTAAAATGCTAAAGGGTTTATATTGGGTAACAATTAGAGTCAATGAGTGGCCATCACCAAGGCTTTAAAATCCCTAAATAAGTAGAGTTAGGCAACCTTTGAAAGGAAAGTGAGTCTGCCTTAATCTGTGTTAATATCCAAGAACTTTCAGGCACAGCCTCCGGTATTCTGCCTGAATGACAAAGGTGACTGAAGTCGCATATACATGTCACGAGAACACAGATGCTTCTTTGAGGATAAAATTTAGGGAGCGCTGTAAAGATGATTCAGAGATGTGTACCTTCAGGCACAACATCAAAATGTGATCGCACAAGGGAGGGCAGAAGTGTGAAGAACTCACTGTAGTACTATTTCAAAAGTGAAAGTCTGGATGTGATCCCACTCCACTTAAGTCCAGTTTCCTGGTTCTCAGACCCCTGGCATGAAGGTGAGTTCTCTTAGGCCCTCGTGGGACTCACCTCCTTGCACAGGGCTCAGGACCAGGTCCAGTGTAGTTTTTACAAAGACAGAGATGCCAGCCTATTGCAGCTAAGTTATATATCTTATTCAAGCTGATACTCGTACTTCAGCCAGACAGAAAGGTCCTTAAATACTTTTCATAACATTTCACTATTTTGCATTAGCAGAATAATGCTGTAGAGAGAAAATGAAAGTAGATATCTTACATGCAAAAGGAAGTTATTTGGGACTACTGGGGAACTCATTAGATCAAAGAAGAGTTGAAAATCAATCCGTGTCAAGGGAGGCTCCGAGGATCCATTAGTAGGAGTAACTGGTCATCTCCTTTGGACGCTGATAAACATGGCTTAGCTCTATCTCCATCCCCACAGTGTGTTGTTGTTTCTCTTGAGACCCGAGTTCTGGGAAGAACAGTTGGGTTTCGCTGAAGATCCAGTGGGGAATGGAAGAGCTCGGGACACCGAATGACACAATCAAAAGAACTGATCAGCCTCGCAAGGCAAAGCTAGAGCGCTGTTACTCAGAGAACACTGGAAGTATTCTGGTCAGGCAAAACCTGTCTCTGAAATCACATCACACTGGCAGGTAATGATTTGACCCGGAGTAGAGCTTTCCCGGTGAATCAGCTTCCAATGCTGAATGAACTACAGCAGCAGCTAATTATCCCACCAACTCCTCACCGCTACTAGAACTCAACAATGGCAGGTCACTTTGGTAGAGATAATCTTGCAGGAAAACAAACAAAAAAAGAGAAAAGATCAAGGAAGACTAGAAAGAGAGGAAGAAGGAGAAGAAGAAGGGGGGCGGAGGAAGGGGAGAAGTGGGTCACACCATAGCCATCATCATCCAATAAGCACGAGCGTGGTGAAATCCTGTCAGTCCTTCCATCTGCCCTGTGTCCAACACACTTCACCCCAGACCCTCACCATGGCCCGTGGGAACAGGAAGAACATGCAAACAACATCTATGCCCAGAAGGAAAATCTTTCTTCTAGGTCAGCCCTGTCCCATGGGAATATAATGCCAGGCACGTAGTACTTTTCTAGAAAAATGCAGATAAAAATAAAAACATTAATATGTATTTTATCTGATTCACTATAGCCAAGACGTTAGCCGTTGAACACGTCATCAATATAAAGCCATAAATGAAATATTTTACATGTTTTCACATTAAGTCCTTGAAATGTGGTTTGTATTTTGTATTGACGTATTTGTATAGGTTGAATTGCACGTCCTCAAAATCCATGTGTCGATGTCCCAGCCCCCAGGACTTCAGAATGTGAGCTCATATGGAAGCAGGGTTGCTGCAGATGTGATTCGTAAAGATGAGGCCCTGCAAGAGTTGAGTGTGTCCCTAACCCAGTACGACTGATGTCGCTATGAAGAAGGGAAGGTTGGACACCCAGAGAGCACACAAGAACACCACATGAAGACTGAGTTATGCTACCCAAGTGAAGACCGATCAGAATGTAGGAGAAAGTCTAGGACTGGGCTACTCCTACCTCCTTCAAATGTGCATGGCCTCCTCCTACACAGTGAGCTCAGACTCTCAGACTTCCAGCCTGCAGAATGGTGAGGCAATGGCTTTGTGCTGTTAGTGTGTGTGGGAACAAACCTAGCGACTTCATACAGGGCACTTCTCAATTCAGGCCATCCACACTTCAAGAGCCACATGTGGCCGGTGGCCACCGTATTGGACAGTAATGGTTTAGAGCCTTCTACATTGGGGCTTTCACTTGAAAACATCCAGGTTCTCCTCCTTCTTTATCTGGGGTGTGTGTGTGTACACGCGCGTGTGTTTTCTTTCATTTAATGAGAAAGTAAAGGCAAACACTTTAGTTCCTGTCCACGTTTACTAAGCTAAAATGCTGTGTTTGTGTTTCGGATTCACAGTTGGCATTTTCCCAGCTCCTAGTCAATGTTCTGGCAAACTTCTACAGTGGTTACTTGGAGATGAAAGCAGGGACGCTTCCATGGTGAAGATCAGCGGGAAGAGGACACCACCTCTGCTTCTTCTGTGGTCAGAACAACCTCAGTCTACTCCGTGCAAAGGCAGTCAATTTATCGATGTCGGAAGATTCTGCAGTCTAAGGACTACATGTCTGAATAATGTGCATGTTTTAATGCTCCCTTCTCTTGGTTACAGGCAGGCTATCGGTGGGGCACAGGGGAGCTGCAAAAATGACTGCATTTATTGGACTCAGTTGGCTCTGTGAATAGCTCCCTTCCAACTCATTGGCCAGTGTGAACTGTTTGCAAACTTTTTTAACAGTGGCTCTTTTGTTCTCATCATGATATCAGTATGTGGTTAATCTATTAAACTGAGAAAACAATGGGCCTGATTCACAAACATAAGTAAAGAAATAAAAATCTCCTGTGTTCCTAGCATTCAGGGGGAAAAACCATCAGCATGTGCATATATTTTCTTCAGTGGTTTTGCTAGAAATACAAATATAACACAGGCATTTTACTGTTTCAACAACAACGAGCTTAAACTACAGTTTATTTGATAATTTTACTTGGTTCAACCCCTTTTCTCATTGCTTCCATGATGAATTTGGTGTCTGCCATTCTCTGGGGCCACCAGTTGGTTTGTATAAGACCTTTGCCCTGGGTCGTAGGTTCTAGCCTAGCCTGGCCTAGTGCCTCTGTTCTCTACAGAGCGAAACTGGACGTCAGGGATCATGATGAATCTTGGGGCTCAACCTGGCTAAAGAGGAAGGGGGGGGTCACAGAAATGAGCATCACTCTGGCACTCACTGGCTGGTTTGAGATGCCCCAAGATGCCCTAGGCTTTTAAAAAAATCTATTTTAATGTAATACAAGTAGATATTAATAAAGAAAATATAAAAAATACTCTTCTATAAAAAACAGAATTTCATAATAAAATAATCAGAGAATAATCAGGTCTATATGCCGTGTTATCATGAATGGCCAAATGCTTCTGAGGATATGTCATAAACAAAAAAAAAGATTCTCTTACAAAGAAGAAACAAACATGTAAGAGGACAAAACTTACTTTTCAACAAACAAAAGAAACTAGTACAAGTGTGACAAATTAGCATATATCAGAATATTTTTGAGACAACAGAATAGATCATTTTGGGAGTTACTTGAACTTTTCTCTATTTCCTATTTATCTATCTTTTTGTTTCGTGCTCTCTATCTCTCTCATAAGTGAAACCACACAATATTCAAGCCTGTGTGTCCAACTTCACATCATGTCCTCAAGTTGCATCCGTGTGCCTGAGAATGCCTCAAGTTTATCTCTCTTTATGGCATAGCGGTACTCCGCTGTGTATAAATACTGCATTTTCTTTACCTGCTCTGCACTGGATGCTCTGCTTTGGAAGGTCCAGCTTGAAAACAAAGGTTGTGCAGCTCCAGTGGTCATAGTTAGAGAGCATCAGGCAGCAGTTGTGGCCAGCATCAATAACACTGTCCTCAGAGACAAATGACACAGCAGGAGAGGCAGGAACTTGCTTTTCAGAATGGAGATCTGCACTCTTTCTGAGGCGTCAGCAACAGACAGGTGCTGTTCTGGCTGACCCAGGCCAGGCGGCTCCCAGCTGGCCTTGTGGACCCCCTCACTAGTGCCACTGCCAGCGAGGCCAGCCAAAAGGCATCTTGTTGCCCCAGGGTGAGTAATTTTAAAAGATTACGTGTTCAGGATGCAGAAAAGCTTGCTTTTCCCTGCTGGACAGTTCTGAAAATAGCTGGAAGTGTGTCGAAGGTCTTCATGGGTGACCTGAGACTCAAGAAGAAGTTTTGAAAGGAAACTATGAGTTCATGTAAGTGAGCATGTGTTCTCAGCTAGGTTTTCAGTGGGGAGACATGATTACTTCGAATCTAGAAGCCTGCCACCTTCCTAGTGCCTGCCTGGTTTCCCCCTGCCTTAGACTTCTCTCTGCGGGGCTGTAGACCTCAGACGTGCCTTGGAAAGAGGAGTCGGTTACTTGGTAGGCTGTGTGAGGCGGTGGGCAGCAATGTTGGTAGACACCCATCCTCATGACCTATTATTCCTTGTCATCGGCACATTCTGCTGGAGTAGAGTCCATTTTCCAGAGAGAGAGAGAGAGAGAGAGAGAGAGAGAGACCTTTAATTCCCTTCTCACAATAAAGAAGCATTCATTACATTTTCACACTAATAAGCAGCACACTTCTTTCTCACTAGTTTTCCTACAGTTACACTGCTGACCTGGTCTTGAAATTCATTATACCATGTGATGTCGACAGTGTGAGGAGATAGGGGAGTTTCAACTTGCTAAGATAAGAAAAATAACATCTCTGTCTTGTTTCTTTACTTAAAAACTAACGTGTACTTTCTCCATACATACAAGATGACAGGAATGTACGCATAGATAATTGAGAATTCAGCTCTCCCTTTGTCTAGGGAAATCAACTCTGTTTCAAAGAAGACAAAAGCAAATGCTTTCTCATAGTCCTTTTCTTCTGTTGATCCCCTCTGATTGTTGACAGTATGGTTTGACAATTCCTTTTTTCTTCTCACAAGTCTGTGTTCATGTCAGCATCCTCCCCATAGTGTTTCCTGCAGGTGTATTGATCATTCTCTCCCATAGTGAAAGAACAGCCAAGTCCACCTTGAGTGAGGCCACTCCAGCTCTAGAACCATCAAGCACCCTCCCATCATCCCCAGCCACATTCCTCACCTGTGAGAGGGGAAGGGTGGCTTCTGGTTGGCTCCTTTAGTATGAACGCAGCTAGGAGAGTAGCATGGACTGGGAAAGTACACAACTTATGAAAATGCTCAGGAAGCATTTCGTCCTCCTCTTTCCCAGAACAGAACACTAACCATGGTATTTATTCCTACCACTTATGGAGTCTGTGATATGTGCCAGGCATCAAACCTGTATGTTCTTTGTTAGACTTTGAACAGGTCTCTCTTTAGGTGGGTATAGCCATCTCACTTTTCAGGTAAGGAAAAGGCAAGATTCAGCAACTTAGCTCTGGTTTCTTAACTGTACTGGCAGAGCCCGAATTTAAAGTCAGACCTGTCAGGGTTAATTGAAGTACTGCACCAGAGTTACCCATAGTGGTGAGTTATCTTGTTTGGCACACTGTTAACAAACTAGTTCGGTGTGTCTTGCTACTTGGAAGTAAGGTATGCATACTATTAAGCACTCAGAGATGACCTCAGCCTCAGAGGAAATGCCGCCTGTTCCCCTGAGTCTATACTCCAGGGTAGGTAGACACCAAGCACTGCCCCCCCCTCAGCGGAGGGTTCTCTTCCTAAGACGGACTTGGAGTGTCAGGTCCCAGGGTATCCTCTGCTCCTCAGGGCACCTGGCCCCTCACCCCTTTGTGCTAGGAACTCAGAGACACCACCAAGAGACAACATCCTCTGTAAGCAGAAAAGGAGGCTCTGCTGACACGGAAAGGAACCAACGGGCCCTGGGACACAGTCATTCTCCACATCACTGTCCCATACCGCGTAGAGGATGCTCCTTTGTCTAAAGCTTTAGTCCACTCATTCTGACTCTTTACTATTCCATGGTGGCTTGCTCTGCCAGGGTAATGCTTTGGGGATCTTTTCTCTGAATTCTTTCCTAGATCACATATTTATGCTAAAACAGGAAACGCGAGGAAGCTGGGTATGGTGCTGCATGCCTATAGTTCCAGCACTCTGGGAGGATGAGGCAGGAGGATCACAAGTGTGAACCAGCCTGGGTAACTTAGCAACTTAGGGAGACTCTGTTTCAAAATAAAAATAAAATAAAGAAGGATTGGAGGCATTGCTTACCTTGAAGGCTCTGGGTCCAATCCCCAGTACCCTCCAAACAAAGTAAGAAAGAAAAAATATGAGTAATGCTATACTTTGTGTTTTTAAAATTTTATAAAATGGAGTACTACTCAGCCATAAAGAATGAGAAACTAGAGCCATTTATAGCTAAGTAAGTGCACACTGAGGCCATGCTCTTTTTGGGGGGGGGTACTGGGGATTGAACTTGGGTCCTTGCGCTTGCGAAGCAGGCCACCGAATCGCTGAACCGCTGAGCTAAATCCCTGGCCCGAGGCCACGCTCTTAAGTGAAAGGAATAAGACACACACACGTGTAAATACTGAATACTTTCTCTGGTGTGAAAAATCAAAAGAGCAAATAAGGATCAAAATGTGTAGTTGATATTGTGTAATAGGAAGAAAACGAAGAAAAGGTCTGAAGGAGTCCGGGAAGTGGGAGGGGTTGGGGAAAGGTAAGAAGGGAAAAGGAAAAAAACACGAGAAAAGGAAAGACACGGAAACAAAGTCTTTGTAAATGGAGAAGGGTGGAGGGGTAGAAGGAGGGCAGGGAAATGTGGAAAAGCAAAAACCAAGACCTGTCATGTAAAGGCACAAGATCGCAACGATGAATATAACTGTACTGTATACCTAAACTGTACCAGTAAACTTAATGGGGGGGTATGTATTCAAACAAGTACTTGCAAGAGATCTAATGCACTTATGAGAAGTACATAGTGCTATACCAGCACAAGACAAGGGGCAGGAAATGTCCTGGGCTGTGTGGTTTGGGGGTGCATTAGTTACCTGTTGTTGCTGTAACCAGTAGCACTATACATGGTGGCTCAAGGCAAAACAAACATCTTAGAGTTCTGGAAATCAGAAGTCTAAAATGGTCTGCAGGGCCTGATATCAAAGCATTAGTAGCCTGTGGTTTTCTTGGAGTCTCTAAGAGAGAATCTATTTCCTTCTTTTCTACTTTCTAGAGGTCACCTGCTTTCTATTGCTCATGCCCCTTCCAGCAACTGTACCAGACCAACCTCGACTTCCATCTCTGCAGCCTTCACTTCTGACTCACTTGCCTTCTTTCCTTGACAAGGAACCTTGAGATGACCTTGAGCCAAACTGGATCATCTTCCTCTCTCAGATCCGTAATTTAACCATGCTGAGAGGCTCTCTTTCGCCACCTACAAATTTTGCAGGTTAGGATACAGAAACCTCTGGGGAGGTCACAATCCTCCATTGCACATGAAATAAAAGAGGAGTCGAGAAACAGTCAGCAGGAAGAGATTATATTCGGAAGGCATGAAGGAGTTGGAAGTAGACGTGCGCATTGGTCAGCAAGTACAAGCCACCCTGAGAAAGTGTTGTAGGGGACGTCCAGTGGGAAGGGGTTTGGCAGGCTGGAACTATAAGGGGACTGGGTAGGTGTGTCACGGGGAGGAGGAAGACATCGAAACAGCCGGCGATCGCCAAAGGATGGAAAGTTTGACTCTTCTGAGAGGATGAATGGGGAAAAGATGCAGGCAGAAAAGTGACGGCAACACA